GGGAGGTAGGACGAAATCTTGTTTTACTATGAAAAAAAAGGAAGGGAAGTCTTGCTTTCCCTCCAAAGTAGGAGGAGATTATAATTTAATCCAAGTCATCCTTCATTTTACACCGTTGATTGACTAGAACATCAAACGGCTGAAACTCACGATCCGCGTCATCCCAAATTAACCAATCAATAGGTCGCCCCAGCTTCTTATATAATAAATCTCTTTACACCATTCCCTTCACACAATTCGAACTCAAAATCCCTCCGATTTCCTACAAACTTTGCTAATCTCCTCTTACATTCCTCAAATCTTGTTGAAATGGCACCAAAGGCTGAGAAAAAACCCGCAGAGAAAAAACCAGCTGCCGAAAAAGCCCCCACCGCCGAGAAATCATCAAAGGCCGGCAAAAAGCTCCCGAAGGACGGCGCCGCTGCTGCCGGAGACAAGAAGAAGAAGAGGGCAAAGAAGTCAATTGAGACTTACAAGATCTACATTTTCAAGGTGCTGAAACAGGTTCACCCTGATATTGGAATTTCAAGCAAAGCTATGGGTATCATGAACAGTTTCATCAACGATATCTTCGAGAAACTTGCTCAGGAATCTTCTAGATTGGCCCGTTACAACAAGAAGCCTACGATTACTTCTCGGGAGATTCAGACTGCTGTGAGACTTGTACTTCCTGGTGAATTGGCGAAGCATGCTGTTTCTGAGGGTACTAAGGCTGTTACCAAATTCACCAGCTCTTGAAAGTTGATAGGTTTTTGTTGTTTTTTCCTTTTGGTTTCTGTTGCGTTTATGAGTTCAATTAGAGTTTGGTGATGTAAAGAAGAACTTTTGGTGTAATGTTTTACAGTTCTGCATCTGTAGCAAAATTGGAAGTTATGTTAATTTTTAAATTGAAATTGTCTTGATAAAATTAATTGGTATGGTTAGATTTGTCAGTGGCTATCAAATGATGATAGTTATGTTTTCTCATTCAAATTCAGTTGCCATTTTAGTGTTAGTCACAATATTGAGTTGCTCAGTCTAACATTATTTATTTGTTAATTACTATTCTATCTCAATCTGTTATCTTAATCATCTTCCCTCAAGTGATTTCTTAATTTTGGTAATTATGCGTTTTGCTAGAACGTGATTGGTTTTCAAATGATTTTATTAGTATTAAATATTAATTATTGAATTCTTTAGTTTCATCATTAGATACTTTGGTGCTGTCTCAGATAATTGCAATCTGTCCGCAATATAAATCTGCTATAAGTGTGGCTCATTAAGTTTTACTATTGAAAATTTTTCCCAATTGACAAAGTAGTATTGACACGTTTTCATTAAATTCAATTTTTGAGTAGCCTCTTCAGATGTCCCGATCATTCAGCAATTATACTACACAAAATGTAATGATTCTGTTAAACCTCACAATGACATTTAATTTTTCTTCACAATAAGATCGGTCATGGAGGAAGATTAATTTTAGAGCCCGTTTGGCCAAAATGTCAAACTCTGCTTATTTTAAAAATAGTTTATGTTTGGTCAATTCATTTAAGAAGTACTTTTTGCAACGTCTGGTAAACAAATTGTGTTTGTCAATCTTCCTAAAAAGTGCTTTTGAGTGTCAAATTACCAAAAAGAATAGTACCAAGGTCTTATTATTATTTTAAAGAGAAAAATAAACTTAAATATTTATTGTAAGAGATTTTTTATTTTATTTAATTAAAATATAAAATATAATGTAAACAAACATAATAAAGATTTAACTCAATTTTACATATATAGTTATACCAAAATACATAATATTATCTAATATAATTACTTATTGTTGCATAATGATTTGAATAATCAAAATACATCATTTCGCATGAATTAGAAGTCTATTCCACAAATTATTATATATTTATAATCTACCATGAAATAATAAGTAAAGATAATATTTTTCAACAATTTCATCTCTTCTTCTATCACATAATGCCTCCATAGTAGTAGACTTGTCTTGCATTTCTAAAGAAATATCAGAAGACCCACCTCCTTCCTATGTCTGTGTAGTAATGTCTTCATTAGCATAATAGTTGAATTCCTTATCGGTAGAAAAATATCGTCGGATAAAATTATGTATAGTCATGGTAGTTATAACTAGATGATTCTAAGTGACAAACTTGAAATAATATGACATTGAGCGTAAAATAAAAATAATTTTGAAGAGTAACTAATTATTAGCAATACATAATGTATAATTTTATTTTTTTAAAATTTAAATCAGAAAGTAATTATTACATAACCTAACCAACTTTGTTGTAAATTGCATGGCGGCCTATTGTGAACTGCCACTTGGCTTAATGTGGATGTTTTTTCTTCATCTTTTAATAATATATATATGCGATGAAGTTGTAAATTTATTACCTATTTGTAGGTAATTTTCACAAATTAAATTTTACAATTGTTTTAAAGATTCGAGAACTAATAGTCTATAACAGAAGAAATTATAAATAAATATTTGTAGGAAGAGAATTGATAATCCAAAAAAGGATGTAGATAATTTGCTTTAGTGTGAAGAAAGAAGAAGATAATTTGAAAAGTTACAAGACATTACACCCCAAAAAATCAAAAACAAGAAAAGTCAATAAAGAATTTGGAAAGTTACAATATGATTCATGTATAACATATCTTTAAATTTAAGAGAATGATAAAAATCAGAAACAAATATGGAAAAAAAAAAACTTAAATTAGTAAGAGATAATTTGAAAAGCATAAATTTTAAGGTGAGGATAGTTTTATCTTAAATAAATTAATTTTCTGTTTTTGCTTCTTTTCAAAAGCAGAAAAATTACTTCTGCTATTGGCTAAAAGTACTTTTTTATCTTGGTCAAACAGCTTAAACTTTTTTAAAAGTACCTTTTTGGGGAAAAAAATACTTTTGGCCTCCCAGAAGCTTGGCCAAAAGAGGCTCTTAATGTTTCGAAATAGCACAAGATAAAAGATTACAAGCTTATAGCCCGTTTTATTAAAGAACAAAGCAATCAACCATCACGACAATATTTGGGTCAGCATATGGGTCGCTAAATTAAGTTCCGTGTACTGTTCAATAAATTAAAATTGCTTTTTTTTTTCCTTCCTATTTTTTGGAAGATCAATAAGTACATTTTATGAATCGCCTTTAATTTTCCTATCATTGACTTTTCAATTGGTGAGTTTGATTAATTGTCTATAGTGTTTAATTTAATTTATTTGGTTATAGTTGTAAACATGCAAAATTTGTTGGATTTAAATTCAATAAAATAATTTGGACTTCATTTTAAATATATTAGTCCAAAAAAATATTATGTGCTAATATAATTGGTTTAATGTAACACCTCAAACTTTAGACAAAGTCCCATATCGGTAAAAACACGAGAGGAATTCTAGGTATATAAGTTAACAAGCCTTAAACCCTAGTGATATGTTTTAAACCCGTGAGGGCCTAGGCACAGAGCAGACAATATCACTAGCGGGTTGGACTGTTATAGATGGTATCATAGCCACTTTTGTGTCAGCCTTGCCGATGGTGGGTCAGAATTCAACCGAGTTTAGGCAAATCCCAGTTAGGTGGGGCAAACCTCAGTGTTAAGTCTAGGCGAATCTCATGCAGTGAAACAAAACTCATCGAGGACACTGAGTCCATTAGAGTAGGTGTATGTAACATCCCATACTTTAGACAACATCCCACATCGGCAAAAACACAAGAGGAATTATGGGTATATAAGTTAACAAGTCATAGACCCTAGTAACGCGTTTTAAACCCGTGAGGGCCTAGGCCCAAAGCGGACAATAACACTAACGGGCTGGGTTGTTACATTTAATTAGTTAAGTCCAATAAATATTTACTGTGCTAACTCATTTAGCTTGGCTACAAGTGATGAGCCAACTTCATTAGGTCCAATATATCATCTTCCTAGAGGCCCAGTTTGGTGCCACGTGTCGTCGTGGCTTGCCAAGTCAAATGGAAGAGCCGATAGGATCATGCCATGTGTCAACATGACAAGGCATGCAAGTCAAATAAAAGTCCCATGCAACTATGCCACATGTGTAAATGACATGTCTTGTGGATCAGACGTCGCAAATTTCTCCATAAGATTCAAGTTTCAAGTTCAAGTTCAAGCTAAATAACGAAGAATAAATCAAGGCTCAAGGAGTACGAGTTCAAATCTAAGTTTGTGCTAGTTCAATTCAAGATCATCGTTCGTGGAAAACAAGCATAAATTCAAGATCAAGCTCGAAAGCCCTTGAATTTATATTAGAAAAGAAGAATCACAAGATTCATAGAGATTGTAAACTCGTATTATTTGAAATCAAATACTACGATTGTTGCATTATTTTTCAATTTAGATTATATTTTGTTGAATTTATTGTCTATAATAATCATTGAACTTTACCTCTTGTATTAGTAAATTCACAAAGTTAATTTACTGCACTTTTAAGATCATTGAATTTATTCTTTATATTGTCAAGTCACAAAACTATTTTTATATCTTTAAATCACTAAATTAGAGTTTTTTGCATTTTGCCGTATGATAAGTTTTATTCTTTGGAGCTTGGATTGACGCGGAATAAGGAAATCAAAATCTAATATTAAATGCCTCGCACTTACATTATAAATGTAGATGCTAAAACCCCTTAATTAAACGAATAGGCACTGACAACGTATAATGAAATTATTGTCAATATAAACGAGATAAATGAACGAATTAACAAGGTCTGGTATATGAGCTTGTTTGAGTAAAAATCAGAAATAGTCAAATTTATGGCTGGTAATTGAAAATAGCAATTGTTTCAAAAGTAATTGAAATTTAGTAATTTTTTCACGTAAAGATAAAATCTGAATAAAATACCCTTTAAAATTCGAAAAAATTTCAATGTAATATGTTAGAGTTCAATTTTTTACATAAAAGATTCCAGCAACATAACATGCTAGAAGTTTATACGCAGGAGTTCCATAATCTAACATATTATGCTGAGAACTTTCCGTGTGCTGAAATTCCAACATAATATGCTCGCCTAAGTGGAATTTTACTCACTATAACGAGTTATTGAAAATATAATTTCTAAGATCTATTTTGAATTAAGAATTTCAAACTATGAATTAAATATTTCATTTTTCATATGTAAGTTCCGATCTTTTGAAGTTTACAAGCGGCAAACCCAAAAAAATATATATATATATTACTTGGCGAAAACATTAGGAGCGTGTAGAGTTAGAATTGTAGTTTATGTAATAGTTTCTTTGGTTTATTAAATATTACCTTGACATATTGAAATATGTAAATAAGGGTAAATTTTGGAAAATCAAAATTAATTCCTTCTTGATTATGTCAATGGACATTTATTTTGGATCAAAATAAAAAGTTAAAATAGTCACTTATTGACTTAGGGATGGCAATGGGGCGGGTGCGGGTTGTGGCGGGTTTACTCTTATGCGGGTGCGGGGCGGGGCGAGTTAAAATAATTTTTAAAATTTTGAAAGCGATGTGGGGCGGGTTGCGAGTTTAATGCGGGGCAACTTTGAATTTTATCTTTTTTGAAACAAAGCAATCATTTAAACTACAATTCATATCTTTCTTCATTAGCACGAATACTATTTTGATTTATAATTAATTAATTTGCATAAGTCTCACAAAAGTGATATTACATAAGTCAAGATATCGTATTAGTAATAGGAAATGATAGTAACCCATTTATTTTAGAAGATCAGCGTAATACTCTCTCAGTTTTATGTTTATGTGATTCTATTAAACTCGTCATTTTATAAAATAATAAAATCTCAAACTAGTTTGTTTTAGAAAAAAAATTAGAGAAAAAAGAAAAAAAAAGTGGGGTGGGATGGGTTGAAAACTGAAAAATAACTGTGCGAAGCGGGACGTGCCGGATTGAAATTTTTGTGAGTTTTACCCCAGCCGCCCTATTGTCATCCCTAGTTATTGTGGACATGGAGTATTTGAATTGCCAAGGAAATTAGTTTTTTATTCTACCAATTTATTTTTATGACTTAATGTTCTCGTAGCCCGAGAGACTAGTTTTTATTGGAAACAACATTCAAATCAAACGCACTGCAAAGAAATAACCATACGAACTTTTATACTATGATTATAATACGAGATTTGTGTTTATTAAATATTTTTGTGGTAGATGCTTTGGTATAATAAAAAAAATATGTGTTTATTTAGGTTTACACTAGTTAATTTGGTTATTGTCAATACTATGCATTCTTAAAGGCTATAAAAGAAGAATTTTGGAGACAGTACCTTCATCATATGACTTTTTATCCTAGAATTAGCTAGCCTCACAATTGTTATCTTGCAATAAATATGAGTGTGAATATAATACTCCAATATCTCTTATTTTATCTGAAATTAATTGATTGAGAGGATAATTTAATCTATATTTTTTATACTATATTAAAAGTACGAAATCTCCATCAAGATATTGTTCTTTTTTTTTACCCTTCGTAAGTAAATTTAACGTTGGAAAATTGTAATTACAAACACTAACAGACAAAATTTGAAAGAAAAATTAAAAAGTGCCGTTTTATTGCCTNTTTAGGGTTATTGACGTTTTTTTTTTGGTACAAAAGATAATATTTATATATATTTAAGTACCGCGTACAGAGAGTGGCTGGTATAGCCTTCTATTACAAGTGACTTTAGTGCCATACTGTAATAAGCTACTACTAGACGAAGCTACAGTAGTAGTATTATGTATTAAGCTATGCCTACTCAAGTTGTTCATACATATTATGTAAGATAAAATCAATTTATTTAACCCAATTCAAGTACAATTAGTACAAAAAAGGTGAACAATATAAGAAAAATTGGTTCTTTCCTTTCATTGTTAGAACTATTTTAGAAAATATTTACGAGTTACGTTCTATCATCAACTAATTTTATGTTACTTCTAAGCAAAATACAGATCATGTTTATATGAAATATTTTCCCTTCTAAAATACAGACGATACACATAAAAAATGTGGAAATACAAGATGCCACCATTAAAAATGAAGTTATTGAAATAAAAATCTTTTTATGTCCTCCAATCATATTATGTAGTCTCTACTGATTCTAATTAATTGAATCTGCACATCACCGGCTGTGTTCTATTGAATTTTACTATATATCATCAGAAACATGTATTACATAATTTGATATCACAAGCCTCTTAGCGAACTGTTATTCGTCTTTTTTACCCTTTAAAATTAGATTTATGACATTCGACATAGTAATTGAATTATTTTTCTAATATTTATGACTTTGAAATGTATTAAACTTTTATTATTAAATCTTTCCTGATTCGAAATACATAAAAAAAAAAAAAAAAAAAAAAAAAACNNNNTTTTTAAAAAAAAAAAAAAAAAAAAAAAAAAAAAAAAAAAAAAAAAAAAAAAAAAAAAAACCTTAATATTGGGGTAAAGGCAGTCATATTTGGTATTTAGTGATTCCTGCAAACATTGAGATTTAGTGAAGAAAGCTTCCTTTTAGATACTTGGGCATTCCGTTAGACTCAAAAAAGCTAACTATTACTCAGTACTTGCCTCTAGTTGAGAAGATAGCAACAAAGGTTACCTGTTGGTCAGCAAAGCTTTTATCCTATGCAGGAAGGTGTCAATTGATAAAGGCAGTCAGTCATATTTGGTATACAGACATACTGGGCTCAGGTGTTCATTATCCCAAAAAAGGTGCTGAAATTGATTGAAACTATCTCAAAGAAGGCACTAGTAGCTTGGGAGAATGTATGTAAACCAGTGGCAGCTGGTGGACTAAACATACTGGACATCAAAGTATGGAACAAAGCAGCAGTTACTAAGCACTTATGGGATTTAACTAGAAAGAAAGACTGCCTATGGATTCGATGGGTTCATAGTTTCTATATAAGAAAAAGGATCTGGACACAGTGCCTACTCCTAAGGAAGATAATGGATAGCAGAGAAGTGGTTATGAGGCATCAGCAACTCCAAGGAACCTTGCATGAAAGATTAAAGAGGCTATGTAAGAATGGCAAGTTTCAAATCAAGCAGGTGTACTTGAAGCTGATCCCAGAATATTGCAAAGTGGAATGGAAGGGCTTAATGTTGCATACCAGTGTACATCCGAGGTACAGATTCATTTTGTGGCTTGCAGTGCATAAGAGGCTGGCCACAGTGGATACATTGCTGAAAATTGGTATTACTGTGCCAACAGACTGTATTTTCTGTAAGCATAGTATAGAGACATTCAACCATCTATTTTTTGAGTGTCCAATAACAAAAAGGTTGTGGACTAAACTGTGCTCATGGCTGGGGCATAAAAGAAATATAGGAGACTGGGAATGTGAATTGGAATGGATCAGCAAAAAGGCAAAAGGCAGGGCAAGTATCAATAGCATCACATGCTGTGTTTTTGCCATGACAGTTGCAATGATATGGAGAGAGAGGAACAGAGGCAGATTTGAGGATGGCAAATATGATGAATATCAAATCTGCAAGGAAATAGTTCTGCATATTCATGTTCGAGGGCAGCATAACAGAAAATGCAGAGAATTGCTGCAGAAACTGGATTGGATTCCCTGAAGAACAAATGTACAAATAGAAATAGAAGGTATAGATGAGATACTAGTGTCTGTATTGGTAGTTATAGTTAGTTAGACACTTTGATATCCATGACATAGTATAAATGATGTAAAGGGGTAGTAGTAAGTCAAAACTACTATAGGAACCAAATTATAATATTTTTGAGTATCAATAGAATATAATTTTAACTCAAAAAAATCTTAATATTTAGAATTTTAAAATTGATTATATTTGACCTTATATAAATATTTTCCATAGTTTAACTATGTAACAACTTTTCATGTTAACTTTTCTAATATTTAGTAATTTGATATCTAACTTTTTTATAAATGTAGATTTATTAGCTTTGAAACTTAGAAACAATTAAATTGTATCCGACATTAAGAAAAAAAAATTCTTAGAATCCTAGGTAAATACAGAAAAGGAAAGGAATGTATATATTCCTAAAATTTAGACGTAAATAAAGGAAGTCAACTAATAATAGAATTTTATATTCTAATGAAAAAAAATACTCTTCAATTGGAATTCAATTGCTCGCCACGATATAATTCACAATATATTCTTCCAACTCCACATAAATCGCATATATTACCCTTTTAAATAATTCTCGCGGTAAATTGAGATGGGAAGAACAAGACAGTTTTGGTTTCTGAGAATTTGAGCATAGCCAAACACTGCAGAAGCTAGGTATTTTGACAATATTTTGTGAATTCATATGAGGTATATATATTCCTCCAATATTTTTATTTGTTTCGTTGTTTATATATATGGTACTCTTTCGGGAACTGAGTAAATTTTTAATCACAATCAAGTAACATTTAAGAAATGCCTGAATTACTATTATGCGAATTCCAATAATAATGTTTACTTTACTAATACTTGAAATGCTTATGTAATACTCATTTGAAATTTACATATATTTTCGGTACTTCAATCTAATATAAAAAATAATTTTCTTTTTATGAAGTACATTTTTTGTTCTTTCATAATTTTATCTGAAATGCTAACGATTGATGGTTTCAACTGTAATTTTCTGTTTCTTTTAGAGTGTTTTTGAAAAAAATATTTTTAGCGATATAGTAACTTTTTGTGTACAAACTAATGCAAATATCTAAGTGATATGAAACACTTGCCATATATACGTGGAAAAAAAAAAGTAAAAAGCAACCTAGGTTATGGTGGATAAATCATATATACATGTATTTTGTGAAGGTAAAATATAAATACAACACAATGGAAAAATTGGTAGAAACTTTTTTCATATGAAAACAAACAAGCAAAAGTATTTCAATAGGATATTTATGTAATTTTCTTAAAAAGTTTTATTTATGGTGTACACGCACAATCAGGGGCGTACGCATAATTTTTTTTTAAGCTGTGTCGAAATTTATAAAAGAATTAAAATATAACTTTGATTATCATACCTTTAGACAAGAAAAATGTGCAAAAGGAAAACGTACAAGTTGAGGTTTGAACATTTAACCTACACCAAGATACAATTAATGTCAAGTGATGTCATTGTTTCCTACTTATTTGTTTTCATACAGTATAAATACATATATTTAGTAAAATTTTCCGACGAAGTGGTGTCACGCGACACCGCTTCAATAAGCGTAAATCCGCCCCGCGCACAACACGCATACCTAAGGCTAGTAAACTATAAAGACTTTTGACGTCTAATTTAAATACATGCAAAGTATCAAAATAATTATTTTATAATCAAACCTCCCTACATAAAAAGGAGAAAAAGATAAGAGTACCTATAAAAGTGAAACTATTTACCCTGCTCTACCCATAAAAGAATTCTACCCATTAAATAATTATAATTTCCTACCCATTTAATAAATAAACAGGTATCTCAAAATAACTACCCCACGCTAATACCCTGCCTATAAAAATGCAAAAGCTGCTCAAAATTTTAGAAAATAAGCGCACAAAATTGAGATTTCCACCGGCATCCCCTAATTTGAAGATCGTAAGTGTGAAAAAACATAGCGAAGATGCTAATTTCTCTTTACAATTCGATTTTTTCTCCTTAAATTTTATAGAAGTAGCTGATTTGACTTTGGAAGATGCTAAAACTTTTGATGCTCAAACTCGCATCTTATTTTTACGATTTTGATTTCGTTGGCAAAGCAGAATGTCAAAAATTATAAGTATTACAGAAGTTTACACTCAAACTTCTGAATTTTTAGCTGAAAATTCTATTCTCAGTTTGGAGATCTGGAGATCTAGAGATTTGAATCAGCATCCCGGGGGGTCCCTTGTACATATTATGTTTTGAGCTGAGGTGCGGGATATCGAGAGATCCCTAACACGTATATTGAGGATACTAAGAGATCCTCGGAATACCAAGAGATCCCTCGCATATATTGAGGATACCAAGAGATCCTCGGGATACCAAGAGATACCTAGCATATATTGAGGATACCAAGAGATTACTGGTATATATTGAGGGTACTAAGAGATCCCCGGTTATTATCTTCGTGAAGAGTGGTATTTCTTGTGATTGTTTTTACCTCTGTTTCAGTTGTTGTTATCCTTATTATCCTGTATTAATTCTTATTATTATCTTTCACTTGTATTGCTTCATCTTATACTGTCACACCTTATATTTCACTTAATCTTAGTAGGGCCCTGACCTTCCTCGTCACTTACCCGATCGAGGTTAGGCTTGGCACTTACTGAGTACCGCTGTGGTGTACTCATGCCCTTTATGTGCATGTTTTTCATGTGCAGATTTAGGTACCTCCACTCAGACTTGTCACGCTTGAGACGAGGCGTTCGTAGAGACTCCGAGGTATATCTGCCGCGTCCGTAGACCGAAGAGTCTCTGTCTACTCTCCCTTTTGTATTAGCCCTTTTGTACTTTCATGAGATTCCGAGTTTTGGGAAAAGTTATTAGTTTCAAGAGTTGTTATTGTGTATGCCGAACGACATTTTTAAATACTGTTTTATTTCATTATTTCGATTTTTAATTATCTCTTTCGCAATTGTTGTTTATAATCTGCATTGTTAGGCTTACCTAGTCATAGAGACTAGGTGCCATCACGATGGTTCACGGAAGGCGAACCGGAGTCGTGACAGGCTACTTGTGTTTTCAATGAGAATATGTTTATTTTCTATTTTAGTATACAAAAGTGGGATGCATTTACATCTAGTTGTTGTAGGAAAAAAGATGCTAAAATGTAAGTGTGCGTATATTTGTATACCTTATTGGTATATAGTTGTATTGCACTAGTATGGATAAACCAAAAATATTCGCAGAAATACAAATGGTGCACAAATACAATGTGATACCCAAAATGTGCATGCTTTGCAACTCATGTCAGTACTTACATCTAGTTGTTGTAGGAAAAATGTATTCAAATACAACGTGATACCCAAATGGTATATCAGTATACCTGATTGGTATATAATTCTACTGCACTAATATACCTGAACCAAAATCTTTGCATAATACAACTGGTGCATCAATGCAAATTATGCACAGATGTTCTAAGATTCAGCTACAACTAACAACTACTCTCAATATAATTTCAAAACCAGTTCATTTTCTAAAAATATTTCTTCTCATTCAAATCAATGCCCGTCCTGTTCTTCAACAAAATAACAACATAATTCTTCTTTTGAACGTCGTCACTCCCTTAAAAATACACCTCCAAAAATAACTTCTGCTGGTGTACTACAACGAACTAACAATGCTCCTCTTGCTGTAAATAGCAGTAGGAGTAGAAACTAACAGTGCTGCTGTAACAACCATGTTCTACACTAATGGCTTGACTTCAAGTGCTGACAAAATTTTGTCTCCAAAAGGCACTCCTAATAAACCAACAACTTTATGGAAGAAGCATAATAAAACAAACTGAAGATAGATTTCAACATTAAAACAGTTATAGCAATATATTGTACTATTACAATTGTATTTCTAGAAAACACTTTTAAAAGCTGCCATTTTAACAATCTAATAATGCAAAATACCATACTTCACTAAAAACTATTAAAATCCTACAAAGTTTTCATGCTATGATTAACTAAAACGAAAAAAAGACCTATACTACTTCTTGCGTTTCTTTCCACGAGTCTTTTTAGGTGCTACTGGAGCCTCATATTCACTTGATTTGCCACGCAACTGCTTGTTCCTCCCATAGTGCCACAACAATATACCAAACCTAGCTCGAAGACCATCCACATCAAAATTGGCAACATGGATTGGAAGATCTTCAATAATATACTCAGCAAAACATGCAACATATACTCCAATATCTCTGCATAAATCAAATGAATAGAATATAAAAATCTATTAGAAGTGAAAAATGTTAATATGAATGAGGAAAACAAAGTAAAAAAAAAAAAGTAATTATTCTTACGAATTTTGCTGTGTTGGCAGATTTGTAATCAGTTCAATCTCAAAAGGATTAGTCAACTCCTTTCCCATGTGTAGACCATTTTGTACTGTAATTTCACTTCCTTAGTTATAAAATTCAATGCTAACTAGAAGCAGGGGGATCAACACAGCATATGCCTTTGCCACCTTTGGAATAACTTTTTGTGCTTTCGATTACATAGCGAGTCATATACGTAAAAACATCTCCTGTGAAATTATACACACCCCAATATCCAATGCCACTATTCTGCCAAATTAATTGGAAAGAGGACATGATTAACCAGGTGCCATGTAGTGTTGCAATGCATCCTAAATCCTTTCATGTACTCCATGATATCGTATGATCTATCAATCAAATGATCTTGTTTCCCACCTTTTACAAATTTTGTGAAAACACTTTGAATGATATTATTAAAAAGAGTATCTGTAGTTGTGACTTTGATTGGTATATTAATTCCATATTTCGCCTTCTTTCTAAGATAGTAGAATATAATATTCAAGTGCTGCAAAAAAGAGAGAAAGAAAACATGACTAACACTAATAATATGAATGAACTACTACAACAAAAAAAAAATTAAAAGTAGTACACATACTGAACTAGACAGCCGCCTACTAGAATAGTTTAAGGTATGAAAAAATGTCTTATCATCAATTTGTTCAACTTCAAAGTCAAAATAAGGGTCCAACTTTTGATCAATGGGTAAATACACTTCCCTATTTCGTATAAAAGAAGATATATATAAGAACAAAAATTAAGAAAACATGAAAACAAAAGTATATGGAAATGAATACACACTCTCCCAATTGCATATTTGCTTTGACAAAGTTTGAGAATGCAGTCGTAAGCTTATAATTAACAGCCACTGAAATGTCATTTACAAATGGAAATCTTCCTTTGTTAACCTTCGAGGATCCCTCAAGTGCACTAACACCAGATGGCCAGTCATTCCTCTACGACAATTGTTTTACAGTTGCAGGGCACCTTCTCCGTATGAAAACTGCGGGAGTTGTTTCAATATCTATTTGTGTTTGGACAATACTTTTTGATATCGACTGATCAGGTTTAGACTTATTTACATCACGAGTTGTTAGTTCATTTTGCAGATTGATTTACATTACGCTTCCCTCCTTGTGTAATGGCACCAATTAGATCAAGTTGAGAATCAATATATTTAAAATCAGAATCCAAGTGAAAATCACCCCTATGTCGACATGGAGCTTAAATTAGAAAATGCCAGTGAATAAACAAATATACAAAGTTAAGAATTTTTTTAAAAAAAAATGAAATGTTATACATAGAAGACATTACCAGAAGGCAAATTCACATTATTGCCACCAACATCCACTTGACCAATACCATCAACCCGAGATGCTGAACACATAAAAGCATTATGAGCATCACTACTTAAACTGCGAGTCATCGCTACACTCAACATCTACTAGTTGAGTCTCTATGTTAGGCACGGATTCACGTCGGCTTCCCCTAACTCAGAATCCTCAATAATTTCACCTTTTCCCTTATTAGTCATAGGAACACCTGCTATGACTGGTTCGGAATTTGTGTCGGGTAATGACTGGTAGGGAGTTTCATCGACTAACGAAGCATTAATATTGTTGCCTTTTCCACCCTCTAATTCTATATTTTCAGTTATGTTTTCAACATGACTACTGCTAGAATTACGACTAAACACAGACTGAGAATCAGAAAATAAGGAAAAATTAGGACCGGACATGGCTGAGGCAACAGATTCAACAGCTACTTGTGTTGAAGAATGATGTTGTCCACGACACCACCATCTACACACACAATGCTTCCGACCCATAGAGAAAACAACAACCCACAGACATTGATTCACAAAAGTACAAAGAAAAAGACAAAAATTCTATGATTTTGAAAACTCACTCTCACTAAAATGTACCTTCAGAAGCAAAAAATTCACCCAAAAATTACTACTAGACGAAGAGATAGAACAGAATCGGAAGAAAAAATTAAAAGCTCGAATCTAAGTGAAATATGGGTTTTCATGGTTTGGCTAAGGAGATTTGGAAACTGTTCTCTAGTCTAGTGTTAACTCTTAAAGGACGAAGACAAGCGTTAAAAACGGTGGATAGCTTGGGCCGGGTGAAATAGGTGGGCTAGATTTTTTAGTCTAGTGTAAAGAATGAAAATAAGGCATTAAAGACAATAGATAGCTTGGGCCGGGTAAATAATTGGACCGCAAGGGTAGGAATAGTAAATAGTTTGGGCATGAGTATTAAAAGGTAAATAGTTTGGGGTTAATAGGTATAAAATGAGATTTTTTCCATAAAAAATAGTTCCAAAGAAACTTGACTGTTTTAGTGAAATATTGTTATAAATGAGAGCTATTATAGAGAGGTGTGAGTATAGCTTCCGTTTGGCTATAAATTTTTTTCATTTTTTTCAAATTTTTTAAAAATATTCTTTGGTTATAAAAAGTGAGTTGTTTTTGGGCAATTTTTGTGGATGAGTTTTTCATGTTTTTTAAAAAGTAATCTAGACTGATTTCTCAAGTTTTTACCCACAAACTTCAAGTTCTTTTAAAGTATAATGTATGTTCAAACATAATTTTAATTTATAAAAATTATTTTTATCTCAACCAAATTTATATTCAAATGCTAATTTATACAATGGCGGTGAGGGTTCCACGTATTTTTTATTCAAATGAGTGATGGTGATGACCTCAATAAGTCATGTCATTGAGGATGCCGAAATTAAGTAAATCCCAAAAAGGGGAAGATGTATTCTTTTTGACAATAGATTAAAAGAAAGACATCATATAAATAACACACAAAAATACTAAAATTGTGAATAAAATTTTCAATCAATTTCTAAGGAAGATGCTCTCATAGTCATATTTATTGCAACGTTATTCTCCTTATCCATTTGATACCAAATTTTCGCACATTAATTTTTATCAGGCGGGAATCGAGATTTCACTTTTTCAGCTACCGCCTTAATGAAAGCTGACGAATTTCAATTTCAAATCCCAAAACAAAAAGACATTTCACCTCAACTCACCAAACCCCTCTCCACCGTTGATTAAAACAAAGATCAACGGTCAATACCACGATCCGCGTCATTTAGATTTAACCAATCAGAACTCTTTCCAAAACATTATATAAACAAACCCTCAATTCCCAATTTCTTCATCAATCGTATTCGCATCTCTTCAAAATCCTTCTCTTAAACCTAAAATCTCCATTTTTCTCTCCTCAAATGGCACCAAAGGCAGATAAGAAACCCGCCGAGAAGAAGCCGGCCGCTGAGAAAACCCCGGTCGCCGAGAAAGCACCAGCAGAGAAGAAGCCCAAGGCCGGAAAGAAGCTCCCAAAGGACGCCGGTGCTGCCGGAGACAAGAAGAAGAAGAGGGCAAAGAAGTCAGTTGAGACCTACAAGATCTACATCTTCAAGGTTCTGAAGCAAGTTCATCCTGATATCGGTATTTCGAGCAAAGCTATGGGTATCATGAACAGTTTCATTAACGATATCTTTGAGAAGCTTGCTCAGGAATCTTCTAGACTTGCTAGGTACAACAAGAAGCCTACTATCACTTCTCGGGAGATTCAGACTGCTGTGAGACTTGTACTTCCTGGTGAACTGGCTAAGCATGCTGTCTCTGAAGGAACTAAGGCTGTTACCAAATTCACTAGCTCTTGAAGAATTTTAGGGTTTCAATGTTTAATTTTACTGTCTTTAGGGTTTGTGTTAGGTGTAAAAATAGTTGCTTTAAGTAATTAGTGCTTAGCTTCCTTTGATTTGTAACGCTTGTTATGTAATCGACAGCTAATCATCTATGAAATTCATCAGCTTTTTGTGAAATTTATGTGGGTTTTAGAAAATTTGGTGGCGTATTTTATTGAGCTGAAGATATAATGAGCTTTTGTTACGTCATGAGGTGGATGAATAATCCAAAAATTGTACTATGATATTTCTTCTTTACTTAAATACTTGTCGTCACCTGGGTAGTGTAAGTCAGAAAATTATGTTCCTATCTGCCAAAATGCGCCTATTCGGTTTTCTCTTTACCTTATCCTGGGCCTCAACTAGAAATTGGCTAATTTGTTTTTATTTGCAATGTTATTTGAATTATGAAATGAAGCAAAATAATTAAATCATGCACTGATTTTCCACTTGCTTAAGGGTTCTGGTATCAGAAGGGTTATGCCTCGTGAGATCATTTTGTACTAATTTGTTTTTGTTCTGTTGATTTCAGCTTTGTGGGTTTTCCAATTATCTTGTCCAAACAGTGAATTCCACGGTATGTTTTTCATTACTTTATTTCTAATTTGAATGTAGCTCTGCTGAATGTGAGCCATTATAGAACTTGCATTGTTCCTTGTTAATCATAAAAAAGATATCATCTTTGAAGGTAGATGAATTGCTTTCAATTAGTTTATATCCTCATCTGTGTCACAGACCACCTCCATATCCCTTTGTCTTCCTCGCCCTAGGTTGGAGATTGGTTGAAGCATGAACTGAACCTCTAAGATCTGATTCAGCCTCCTATTCTTAGGTTTTGGAAGGAAGAGAAAACTATGAAGAGTAGGTAATGACGTCTGTTTTCTTTAGAAAAACCATAGCATAGGAAGTCCCAATTCTAATTTTGAAACATGAATTGGTTGAAGCATGAACTGAGAACCTCTAAGGTCTGATTCAGCCTCCTATTTAAGGTTTTGGAAGGAAAAGAAAACTAGGAAAATTATGTACTTTTGGAAAACCACAACATAGAAACTCCCAATTCTATTTTCAAAATATGAATCTCAGACTGTGATTCGAATCTTTTACTTTTCTGGGTATAACGGATGGATTTGGCCTTTAGATAGGGATATTTATGTTGAATTCAAAAGTTAAGGGTAATCTATAAACAACTTCGAGGTGAATTATGAGTGACTTTGTTTGGTCAAACAATAGCTTAAGTGATGCTTCATGTTGGATCTATTTGACATACTTATGAGTGAATGTGTCTCTCTTTGCGAAGTATACTTAAGTTACCAAACAAACAATCCTTTGGGTCATCAAACACACTTGTCATTTTCACATAAACTGTTTGAATTAAGCAGATAAAACACATTTGACCAAGAATTGGTAGATCTATTTCCTCTTGAATTAGTACTTGAATCTAATCCTGCGTGTTTCACTCTGAAAAGATAAAATCTCTTGTACATTACTTGGTAATTTGTGGTACATATGTCCAGCTCTTTATGAATTATTTTTTCTCTGGCATATCAGAAATCCATCATGGAACAAAACCTTTAAATTTTGACACTTCTTTTAGTACATAGGATTGTCTTTTACTGTTTGACATCCTCTCAGTATTTTTAGTTGAGTTCCTTCTATCTTTTACATGATCCTCTAATGGACAGGGGCTGATGTAGGCTTGAATATGTGTTCGGTAGAACTTAGTACCTTTGGCCTAGACCCAATATATGTTTTAAAAATTCATTAAATAGGAATAAATTAAATTTAGAACTCAATTACTAGCACTTGAGGTTGTTCTCCAAGAATCCAAAACCCATAAAATTCAAATTCTAGATCCTCCGCTGCTGATGGATAAAGATGTACCGTATTACTCATTGATGTAGTTGTGCAGAATGCAGATCAGCATGGATTCTAATTTCTGGAGTTAACCAATTTTCCATGAGTCTATAATAATCATGCCATGGTATAGTGAGGTATACCTAAATAGTAATAATATGGGTTTGGCATCTATATGGATTGGTTCTTTAGTGGTCTCTAGCAGGGGATCACACCATAAGTTACTCTTCCGCTAGAGTTAAACTGACATGTTAATTAACAAAAATCTGCTTATTGGTATTGCTGGGATGGTAAATTCTGTCTATATATTTCATGTTCAGTGAAAGCTCAGTTTCAACATGTTATACTAGGTACGGTACTTACAGCAAGTCAGCAACACTCTGGTTTTTGGAATGAACTGTCTGTAAAATGTGATAAGTGTAATTAAGTCGATATAAATTCTATGAGATAATTCTAGTATGGAGTGGACTCTTGTTAAAATGTACGTCATTAATATGAACTTTCTGGCAGAAGTTTTGTTTTTTCTCAGTTGTATTTGATGTAGTTGTCTTGATTCATTTTTGTTGTTTGAGCTGTTTTCTGCATAATGTATCTGTGTCTAGTGTAATGTCTTTTATTTCGTTGTGAATGATGGTTTGCCTTCAGTTCTTTTGCCTTTTTATGCGAGAAAGTGCTCTCTGCAATCTGAAATTTATTGCTATTCTTTTCAGGATTTGGTATGGGCATGCTGCTTCATTAGATGTTCTTTAGTTAGTCAACTGGTGCTTAGGTCATAGATGAGTGTCTGTTGTGCTATGCAATTGCAGATATCGGTATAAGTTTGACTTGACGACCTTATCTTTAAGTTTGGATGGCTAAGCATGCTGTCTCTCAAGGCACTAAGCTGTTGCCAAATTTACTAGCTCTTGAAGAATGTTTAATTTTACTGTCTTTAGGGTTGTAAAAATAGTTGCTTTAAGTAATTAGTGTTTAGCTTCCTTTGATTTGTAACGCTTGTTGTGTATTCGACAGCTAATCATCTATCAGCTTTTTGAGAAATTTGGTGGCGTATTTTTGTTACGTCATGCGTTTGAATAATCCAAAATCTATACTAAGATAATTGAGAACCAAACAATCCTTTGGGTCATCAAACACACTTGTCATTTTCGCATAAACTGTTTGGATTAAGCAAAGAAATCACATTTGGCCAAGAATTGGCAGATCTATTTCCTTTTGAATCCGATAAAATCTTGTGTACATATTTGTGGCTCTTTATGAATTATTTTTTCTCTGACATATAAGAAATCCATTATTGAGCAAAACCTTTAAATTTCAACACTTGTTTTAGCGCATACGTTCGTCTTACAGCAATGGTAATTTATTGATGGAGAAAGAAGCCAGTGGATGATCATGAAAATTGTGGATGCTAATTTATTTTCAACAGAAACTTTTATTGGATTGTCTTGTTTCACGAGCGGCCAATCTTGCAAAGAATCAATTATATTTCACCGTGGATATACTGCATGAACCAAATAGTCAGCCAGAAATGCAGGGATTATTGAAAAACAATCCCATATCCAAAAATTTCTCATAAGTAGAGCCTGATTTTTGGTTTCTTCCTTTTAATGCAACTTGCTACAAGAAGCTCCAACGTTCTTTATCAAAAATGGCCGATTTGTTTTACTTCATGATCTTTAATATCAACAGTATGTCACAAGATTTTCAAAGCAGTGGTGTTGAAAATTGGAAAGAGCTCCAAGAATGTACAAGTGATGAATTGAAGCATTTAAAGGAAACTGCAATTTCGTCACTAAATTTAATTTGAACTTCTTGTTACTAATTTCTTGTTACTAATCATATGCTTTTTCTCCTTTTTTAAATTTGAACAGAGCGGGCATAAATATGATATATATTGACTATATCATTGTTGCATTCGTGGTAAAGGTGGTTACAGAGACCAGACTGATGGTGGAAAAACATAGCCCGTTTGGTTACTGTAACGGGTTAGTTAGTGTGGGCTGGGGTAAGCAGGTTGGTAGTGGGCTGGGTATTTCCGAGCTCTATTGGGCTCGTTGAGGTTCGGGCTTATCCGGTTTGAACCGAGCCAGGGGAATTGGTTTTTATTCTTTTTAATTTTGTTTTATATATTTATTTCAATGTAATTTTTTTTTGGTAATAAACGATTTATTCAAACAACAACAAGCTAAAAGTTATTATAATTAGAGATCAGTCTAGGTAACATAGTGCCTAGACTGTCTCTTTTAAGTACACGAACAACAAAAATAGGCGGAATAAAATAAGTTTGCAAAATACAAAAAGTGTCCAAGCTACAATCATTTTTGGCTAACAAGTCCGCTACTCCATTAGCCTCTCTAGAAACATGCTTCAGCTGTGGATCATTCACCTTCCGCAATAGGTACCTGCAATCATCAATCAAGTTTTGATAGAGACAATTATTAGATTTTAGGAGATTTATTAGTTCCAAATAGTCCGTCTCTATTACTAATGGGAAGAGCTTTTCTGTTAGTGCTCGTTTGACTCCATGGAGTAGGGCCAGAATTTCTATATATATATGTTAGTAGTATGGTCGAATCTAATATTGAAACCTAAGATCCATTGACCCCTATCATCCCTAAACACCCTTTCTATTCCTCCCACTCCTAGGTTTCCTACACGTGAGCCATCAATATTTAGTTTATAAAAATTTGGATTGGGAGGCTCCCATTTTACAAGGATAGTTTTCTTGGGTGGTTTTAAGCTAAGATTTTTTGCCAGGTAAAAGTATTCCATGGCTTTGCTAATGGGTTAGCTTATGGTGATAGGGGATTTAGTTCCTTGGAAGAGAATCCCATTTCTGAAGTTCCAGATATGCCATAGGAGGAAAGAGAGGAAATCTAACCAACGTAGGTGATTGTTGAAGGATTTCCTTGACATGAGTTATTTTTTAAGCCAATTGCACAAGGTATCTTTTCCTAAAGAGTTCTGAGAGAAGGGATGGTTAAAATTTGTTTGTTCCCATATGGATCTAGAGTAGCTGCAGCGGAAGAAGATATGTTCTATGTTCTTAGTCTCCCTATTACATATGTTACAAGTGTCGTCATGGCAAATCCCTCTTTTGGCCAGCATATGCTTTGTGGGTAACCTGTCCCAAATGATTGTCCAGAGGAGATATTTCAATTTGTTTAGGGAGTTGATTTTCCAGAGCCAAGAGTAGTCTTTTTTATTGCATGTAAAATCTGAGATTGCTTCGTAGGCAGCCTTAACGGAGAAACAGTTGTAATCCTTTGAGTCCCAAGTATATGAGTCA